CGACTCCTTTTCATCAGGGGAACAAAACGGTCAGAGGGATTTCCAAAATTCTCAAAACTGACCGAGTTATTTATTTTTGGGCCCTCCAATTTTGCCAGGGATGGGAACAACCTACCGTATATGGTAATAATCGCTCGATATGGCATTTAGGCGCTCGATCTGCATAGGTGACTGCACGCAATGGTCCCCGTTGTGCAGTCCAAATAATCTACAGCGCAGGTTTGAAGGTGCAGCGGATTTCAAACTCTGCCCAAGAGGTCTTTCTCAGCTCACGATGGACCCTAGGTATTTGGCCGACTATGTCACCCCCTAGGGGCCCAGTTAGGCGCCGACCCTAGGCTAGGGTTAGCCCTGCTCGCCGCACGATTTTGCCACTGTGCAAAGTAGGCGCCGACTAAGCGCCCCGCTCCATAGTAGTGACCCCTTGTGACCCTGATGATATCAAAGCCGAGCGTGACTGGGATCGTCGAACTTACGATCAACGTCGTTCAGCGCTCCTTGGCTCCGAGCCTCACGCCAGCAATTCGGACCCAATCGACTCATGCCACTTGCTCATTCCACAGCGCCATGCCAGACAAAGCACAGACATATAGCTGATCAATACGGCGAATTTTACTGACAAAATAACCGCTCTACGTTTAGTATACAGCTCGCCATTTGCGTGCTCCTGACGCTGAAACAACCCATGTCGGGTGGACAGTCTGCTGTGTGCCAGCGACTTCCAAACCTTCAACGGTGTATTCTTGTTACAGCTCTGTGAGTTCCACATACTGCTTCCGTACTCAATGATCATACCATTTCCAGGCTCTTCTGTTCTGCCACGACGTTGGGCGGCTTCTCGTGACACGGCACAGACGCTTCCCGCCGACTCGCCGAGGCTAACAGCTGCCCCTGCTGGTCGAACTCTACTCCTTGTGCATGGAAGGCGTTGCGGCCACATTGTACCTGGCAGATCGATTACTCGAACACAACCGAAGCGCCGTCGTGGGAGGCCTGCAGATAAGACACAAATACCGGTCGTGCTCCCGCTATGGCCCCACCACGCCTACCACTCCTTACTGCGATGTCCTCGTCTCCCCGAGTATGGCTGAGTAAGTCGACTCCGACTCCGTGTATCCTCTGGGCTAACGGACGACCAGTTACTGGTGCCTCATCTGGCTTCGGCCGCGCCCTGTGCGATGTTGTCCTCAAGAACGGCGAGATAGTCGTCGCCATAGCCCGTCGCGCACACCTCCTCGACGACCTCGTGAACCAGTACTCCTCTGACCGCATCCTCGTGGTCAAAACGGACGTCACCCAGCCGCAAGAGGTCGCCGACGCCTTCGTTCACGCTAAGAGTGTCTTCGGCCGCGTCGACATCGTCTTCAACAATGCCGGGTATGCCGACCTGGGAGAGATCGAGAGCGTCCTGGACGTCGATGCGCGCGCGCTCTTCGAGACCAACTTCTGGGGTGCAGTTAGCGTCACCCGCGAAGCTGTCAAGTTCTTTCGCGAGTCCAATCCCCCGGGCGACGGCGGTCGTCTCCTGCAGATGACGTCCATGTATGGGATCGTGGGCGCCAACTGCCTGGCTTTCTACTCCGCGTCGAAGCACGGTGAGCAGTCTACCAGCTTACGACCGAGCGACTCGTACTCACCCGACGTCACTCTCATAGCATTGGAAGGGTTCACGAAGAGTATCGTCCAAGAGCTCGACCCCGCTTGGAACATCAAGGTAAGAACACCCCATGTTTGACGACACGCATGGTTCTGAACCTCATCGGCTCGCCCAGGTCACGCTGCTCGAGCCAGGTTTCTTCCAGACCGAGCTCATCTCCCACATCATGAAGTGGACATCCCCGCACCCCGCCTACCTCACGTCTCCGATGCCGAGCGCCATGCGCGCAGGCTGGGACGCGTTCATGCCGGCCGGCGATACCACGAAGTTGGCGGATGTGTTCTACCGGGCGGCGGCGATCCCGGACCCCCCTCTGCACTTCCCGCTCGGAAGGGACGCCGTCGCGAACACCAAGAAGATGGTGGCTGAGCTGGGAGACGCCCTCGCGCGCTACGAATCTTGGTCAGACGACGTTGAGTTCACGTCTGTCGGACAAGAGGTGGCGTGCGAGAGTGTCTGAGAGGGTCACCGGATTCGGCGGTGGGATTCCGGCGATCGTGTTGCATCCAAAGGGATGCTAGTCGTATGCTCGAGCCCTCTGAACCTTCTCGCAGGTGATTAAATTCTTGTACCAAACTTTGTAACAGCATAGCGCGTTGTACATCTATACAGAGATTGCGGATCTTCTATGATCATACGTCCGGCATTGACAAGGCGGCGGGCGGGGAAAGGATGAGAAAGCGAGCAGGATAGCGGGGTGCTACTGCGCCCTCAGTCCTAGTACTTGCACGTGAAGACGTTTCAGAATCGTACAGATATATTACTTGGACCGAGTCGGACCGGACTATGAAACGATGGGCACTCGCGTACACTAGAGAGCCCACATAACGGTAGCAGCCGAGAGACTATAGCATAATAGAGCCTCCCCGGAACTAAGCCGCGACGATGGGAGGGTGTACGGGTAAGAGGGCGTTGAAGCGCAGCCCCGCCGCGCACCGATCGCGAAGAGTCGCGCGCAGCTCCGCCGTCCCCACTTCATACTGATGCTCGTCGAGCCAGAACTTCGCATCGTCAACCCACTGATTCGTGACCGGGTCGTACCGCGGGCCCCGCCGGAGGCACTCGACGTACTGACGACATCAAACCCTGTGAGCCCACAACGCAGCTTGACCAGTATGGCTTTGGACGTACCTCGTCGTACACCTTCCAGCGGACGACCTGCCAGCCGCCGTCACACTCTCCGAGCCCGTATCTGGAGGCAAGGTCGTGTATCTGTTCGAAGACCTTCTCCAGATATTCGTCGTTCCATTCATAGTACCCATCCCGTGTGCCTGGTACTTGCACAAACTCCAGATCCGGCACGGGGAGCCCCCATCCCTCCGAGCCCTTCTGCGGCGCACATGGAGCTACACTCAAAACCTTATCGAGGCCGAAGTTGACGAGTGACCACCGGATATCGTCGTCTGGGCGCGCAGGATAATTTCCATACGACGGTTGCATGAACGCGCCCATGAGCTCCTCGCGGACTTGTAGGTTCGCGCCGGGTTGCGTCGGGGGCCCGTGCTCAGCGTCGAGCTGTTTGTTGCACGCAGTCCAAAGCCACCCCGGGAGCAGCTGCTTGGCACCAGCCAGAACCATCGAGTCTCCGACATAGGGATCGGGTCTTAGGGGGGCAGGGGACTCCGCACGGTCGGGCACGGGCGCACGCCGTGGCTGGTAGGGGGGAGGGTCTCCGTCGAGGTCGTACCGTCCACCAGGGCGGTAGTCGTGAGGGTAGCGGAACCCTTCCTTGTTGCCGTACTCGGCCACATGTTCATCCAACTCAGTCTTGAGTCTGAAAACGGGGAGTTATGAGCGTGGTTCCACGTACAAAGGAGTGGAAATCCGCGAAGATGAAGAGGTGGAACGCACTTTCTCCAGAACCCTGTTGGGCCATCGTACAGCTCCCACGCGACGTGTTGCACGATGCGCTCCCTGTACTGGACTATCATTTTGTCGCTATCGTCGCTATACAAGCAAATGGGCATTAGACTCACGACGGCCAAATACGAGAAAGAGCGTGAACGAACAAGTCACGATCATGCACATATCCCTTCAAATCACTGTCGTCCAAGCGGTACTTGCTCTTCGCCAACGCCTTCCAAATCTGACACAGACGAGTGATGTTTGAGCAGGAAACGCATGCCAAGGATGTTCGAGAACATACCAGGCGCATTCTCGGGGTGTCCGTCTTCCAAGTCGGCTCATGGAGGTACGAATGGTCCGCAAGCTCGCCGGTTGGGCCTGCGGTGGACCTCCTCGGTCTTGCCGTGGGATCTTTGGGCATACTATGGAGCGGGGCGCTTAGTCGGCGCCTACTTTGCACAGTGGCAAAATCGTGCGGCGAGCAGGGCTAACCCTAGCCTAGGGTCGGCGCCTAACTGGGCCCCTAGGGGGTGACATAGTCGGCCAAATACCTAGGGTCCATCGTGAGCTGAGAAAGACCTCTTGGGCAGAGTTTGAAATCCGCTGCACCTTCAAACCTGCGCTGTAGATTATTTGGACTGCACAACGGGGACCATTGCGTGCAGTCACCTATGCAGATCGAGCGCCTAAATGCCATATCGAGCGATTATTACCATATACGGTAGGTTGTTCCCATCCCTGGCAAAATTGGAGGGCCCAAAAATAAATAACTCGGTCAGTTTTGAGAATTTTGGAAATCCCTCTGACCGTTTTGTTCCCCTGATGAAAAGGAGCCGATTGGTCAGATGGATAAGGATTT